GTTGAATAAAAAAACAGGTTCTAAACAAACCTGGGAAGGTGTTGAAGCTAGAGAACCTAGGAAATATGTTACTCCTTAGTTGCAGCCTGGTTGTAGCTACAGGAAGAACTTCAGACACAGGAACACAATGTAACCCTTCAGTTTTGAAATGTTGCTAAGTCTTCTTGTGCTTCAGAAATGATTGCCCCTGCCCTAAAGAAATGAAAATCATCTCTGCCATTATGTGGAAGGGTGGCCCAGATGGGAGCTTCTTAGTATATTTTGGATAAGAGTCCTTTATTACTTTTATGTTTAGCAAATATTTTCTCCCAGTCTGTGGCTTGTCTTCTCATTCTCTTGACATTGTCTTTAACAGAGCAGAAGTTTTTGATTTTAAATGAAATCCAGTTTATCAATTATTTTTTCCCACGGATCATGCTTGTTGTGTTTTTATCAAAAGAGTCATTCCCCAACCAAAGGTTATCTAAATTTTCTTGTATGTTCTCCTCTAGGAGTTTTATAGTTTTGCATTTCACATTTAGCTCTGCGATCCATTTTGAGTTAATTCCTATAAAGAGTATAAGGTCTGTGTCTAGATTCATGTTTTTGCATGTTGATATCCAGTTGTTCCAGCACTTTACCTTTGCTCCATAATATGGCCTTTGTGCCTTTGTCGAAGATCTGTTGACTAAATATATACGGGTTTATTTCTGAGCTCTCTATTCTGTTCTGTTGACCTGTTTGCCAATACTTTCACCAATACCACACTACCTTGGTCACTGTAGCTTTAGAGTAAGTCTTAAAGTCAGGGACTGTCAGTCATCCAAGTATTTTCTTCTTCAGTATTGTGTTGGCTATTTTGGGTCTTTTGCCTCTCCATACAAACTTTAGAATCAGTTTGTCAACATCCACAAAATAATTTGCTAGAATTTTGATTGAGATTGCATTGATCAATAGATCAATAGACCAACAGAGATCAAATTGGGAAAAACGGACATCTTGATATTATTGAGTTTTCCTATCCATGAGCAGGAAATATCTCCATTATTTAGCTCTTCTTTGAGTTCTTCTATTAGTTTTATGGTTTTCCTCGTATCGACCTTATCCATAATCTTTCAGATTGACGCCTAAAAGTTTCATTTTGGGGGCACTAATGTAAATGATTTGTGTTTTTAATTTCAAATTCCACTCGTTCATTGATGGTGTATAGGAAAGCAATTTATTTTTATATATATTGATCTTGTAGCCTGCAACCTTGCTGTACTTGCTTATTAGTTCCAGTTTTGTTCGTTTTTTAGTTAATTCTTTTGGGTTTTCTACATAGAAAATTTGTTATCAGCAAACAAAGATACCTTTATTTCTTCCTTCTTAATCTGTATATCTTTTATTTCCTATTCTTGTCTTTTTTTTAAGATTTTTTTTTCTTTATTTATTTGAGAGAGAGACAGCACAGAGGGAGAGGGAGAAGCAGGCTTCCCGCTGAGCAGGGAGCCCGATGTGGGGCTCGATCCCAGGACCCTGGGATCATGACCTGAGCCGAAGGCAGAGGCTTAACCATCTGAGCCATCCGGACGCCCCTCCTATTCTTGTCTTATTGCAGGAATTAAGACTTCCAGTTCAATGTTGAGAAGGAATGGTGAGAAGGGCTATCCTTGTCTTGTTTCTAATCATAGAGGGAAAGCTTCTAGCTTCTTTTTTTGTGTTTTTAAATGCATGTTGCTCCTGTAAAGAAAATCTATTGAGTTTCTTATGTTTTTGAAACCAGACACTTATTCTCTTACTACTTGTAGGAGTTTTTCAGGTGTTTACAGAATATGCAAATAGGTACAATTTTACTTCCTCTGTCTTTATTATTAAGTGCAATTGTTTCTCATGTCTAATTGGATTAGCTTGTACTTTCAGAAAATTGTTAAATAATACTGTTGATTTTTTTTTCTTGACTTTAATGAAAATAACATCTAGGATTACTTTGTAAAGTTTGTTGCTGACTTTGGGGTTCATACAAATGAATATATATATTTATATTTTTAGCATACCATGAAGGTAGCATTATGTATTGGTGAAGAAGTTAGCTTATGCTGTAATTAATGTTGGTTGGAATAACTAAGGGAAATAAAGAATCTATCTTATTCCATCTAGAAAACAAATTCCAAATAGACAAAAGATTTAAATTTATAAAATTAAAGTATAAAAAATGCTGAAAATGCAAGAAGAGAACATGATCTATCATATATCCCTCCACTCCCCCAGGGATGGATGCTTTCCTCGACATTACACAAAATCTAGGAGCCAAAGAAGAGTTACAGTTAGATCATCATGTTAACATTTAAATTTCCTAACCTGTAGCACAGAAACACCACAAACTCAAAAAAAAATAGATCTTTTTAAAAGGCCCCAAGTTAAATTGTTGATGCCATATCTAAAAAGTTGATATAGATTAAAAAGGAAAAAAAAATGAAAGCATGGACTGTTATTTAAATAGGAAGTCACAGAAAAGAAAACTTAAAAACAGCTCTTAACCATATGGAAAAAAGTTCAGCTTTTCTCATAATAAAACAAATGCCAATTAAAACTATAATATGATCCCATTTTTGTCCCAATCAGATTGGAAATATTGAAAATATAATAACACATTATGTGGTGAAGATGTAGACAAATAGGCACAGCATTATATTGCTGTCAGGGGATCCGATACCCGATAGCGAGTAATTTTGCAATAATATCAAAATTGAAGATTCGTGTTTTACACAGCCAAGTCCATTTTTAGAAACTGATACCCTAAAAATGTTCACAGATATGGGAAAATATGTGTATGAAATATATTAGTTCCAGCCTTATTTAAAATAGCAAAAGATTGGAAACAACCTGAGTACTCATAACTGGACAATTAATTCAATAAATTATAGTACATACAAACAATGGAAAACCATGTAGCCAATAAAAAGAGTTGAGGCTATAAAAATTGACAAGGAATGAACTCTAATATATATTTTTAAGTAAAAAATGAGAAGTACAGAAGAGTTTGTAAACTAAGATACTATGTGTGTGTTTTTTAATAGAAAATGTGTGAATATGCACACACTCATGTGACTAGTGTTTACCTATTACATACCTGGAAAAATATACGGAGACAGATAACAGTGGTTACCTCTGGGAGCAGAATTAAGCATTGGAGAACAGGTGGCAGGAAGAGTTTACACTGTATTTTCTTTTAAATGATTTTGAGTTTATGTCATTTACACATATCTTCTGTCAAAGAACGAATTAGTTATAAAGGGAAAACACCTGTGGCATAATACTTCCCTTATGAGAAAATGCACCACACTTGTTATCCCGAAACTTTTATTTCCAAATAAATAGCTGCCAGTGTTTTCCTGATGCCTTATGGGAGAAGTAGAGTTTTAAGGTAAAAATATTCCTTTTCCATTCATTTAAATTTACTGATTTAGTTTTTCTATTCTTCCAGGCCCTGAGCTGATTACAGGTAGACTGTAAGAAGCTCTGAAAGTTTTGTTAGTTCACTTAGTAGACAGAAGGTATAAATTTAGACTTGAATGTCCCGCTTGTTTCTGGTCATCCACTGAAAAGTATGGTCATAAAGCTCACAGCAGTAGGAATGTCCTTCAGTGAAATTTGAGGGCCCTCTAGGACTCCTCACAAAACAATTATGGCTGCAGTTTTATTATTTCAGTTTATATCCACCAAAGCTGCAATTAACTGCATCGTAGCTTGTTGACCTTAATGAGTTAACACAGCTTCCAAATAAAACTCATGGCCAAGCAGGAGCTTAGGCTCTGAGTTTTGGCTCCGTAATATCTGTGAAATTTGAGCTCATATTAAATATACCTTGAAACAATACATTTGGGATTTGGCTCCTGGCATCAGATCAGATCTGACTCTGCTATATGGAGTTGAGAGTTTTGCCTCAGGTCCTCGTAATATGTTTAGCACGACAGGACTATAGAATCAGCAAGAATAACATTTTGCTTTAGGGAAGCAAAACACTTCCATTCTTGTTGCGCTTATGGCACCCTGGCTCCTTTCCGATCATTTTTTCCTGAAATAGGAGAATTCTGCTGTCTTCTCCCACCTGGGGCCCAATCCAGGAATTTCTTCCCAGCTTAGTCTTTTTCTCATTCCTAGTCACATACACGGCATTTGTCCAACACTGAACTGTCTCTTTCTGTGTGTGTCCAAGAAAGCCAACGCTGGCATGGCTAATGACGTGAGCAGGTCACACGCAGTCCCAGTTGCCTCCTCAGGTTAGACCAAGACTCAGGTCTGTGACTCAGGCAGTAATGACTATTTGATTGGTTATATAGGCTGGCAGAAGCAAACTGTTTTGATCAGCTTGGCCAGGAGCCGCTTGTCAGGACTGAAGGGCTGGATTTTATATCCTCTCAGAGACAACTCCCTTTCCACTTCATCCTGTTGATAAGCTCTCCATTGCCTCTGTGGGGATACATCCCATCCTCATCTGGGTGGCTCATGGAGTGAACAGCCCATTAGGGACATGATGGTATTTAGCCTAATGTACTTTAATTAGGGCTATAGTTGAATCACTTTCTTAAGTTATGGCACGGTTCCTGTATCGGCAAAACACAAGAATTAATAAACATGGGACACTTAACAAAACCTGAGCTAGAAAGCATATCTGTTAAGCCAAAGCCGATGAAGCAGAAAGTAGAATAATGGCTGGGGGGTGGGGGTGGGGGGAGGAGAGTTGATATGCAATGGGTGTGAAGTTGCAGTTATGCCGGGGGAATAAGTACTAGAGAACTGCTCTACAACTTCGTGTGGGTAGCTGACAATACTGTCTTGCACACTTAAAAATGGGGGGATTGAAAGAGTGGATCTGGTGTTAAATGGTCTTCTTACAAAAAACATATTTAATCATTATATTTCAATTTAGCTGGAAACAAAAATCCATTCCTCTAGTTCATACTTAATGACCAGTGTTTAGACATTAAAATCTTCTCTTAATCTCCTTAGAATATCTCCATCCTTTTTTTTTTTTTTAGGACTTTCATATGCAGAGTAAATGGTAATTAAAATGTGCAGGATGACAAGATGGAGCAAACAGTGCTTGTACCACCAGGACCTGACAGCTTCAACTTCTTCACCAGAGAATCTCTTGCGGCTATTGAGAGACGCATTGCAGAAGAAAAGGCTAAGAATCCCAAACCAGACAAGAAAGATGATGACGAAAATGGCCCAAAGCCAAATAGTGACTTGGAAGCTGGAAAGAACCTTCCTTTTATTTATGGAGACATCCCTCCAGAGATGGTGTCAGAGCCGCTGGAGGACCTGGACCCATACTATATCAATAAAAAAGTGAGTGCTTTTTATCAGGCATATTTTACTGCTAATTGCCTACTGCATACCTTGGACTATTATAGCATCAACATGTGCCAAATTAGCAGAAAGTCCTTCTGTTTAAGAAATAAAACACATTTGTGTGTGTTTTATGCATATGTATCCACAAGAAATAAATTGATTATATCATAACAGATGGAGCTGTCCCAAATGCACCACAACAGGTACCTAAAAATAAATGTATGATGTAGGCAGGCAGCTAATTTAACAAATTAAAAGTTCTCCCCAGAGACTGAATTTCCTATACAATTTTATGTGTTTTCTGCTCTTGAAAATCCTGAAATTATCAAAAGTGATAAAGATTTCAAAAATATTAGTATTAATTTCTCATGGAACAAAATTTGATGCCACAAGGGTTTCAATTTCTATATTATGTTATATATAATAAATCAATTCCCTGCAGAAACTTTTTCCTGCTTAGAAAAGAACATTCCTATACAAACTACAGTTTTAAAAATTATTCAGAGCAAATAATAATGTACTTTTTCCACTTGGATCCATGTATCTTTGGAAAGTATCATGTTTAGCAGTAACAGCCATTAAAACTCAGTTGTATCGGGGCACCTGGGTGGCTCAGTTGGTTAAGCGACTGCCTTCGGCTCAGGTCATGATCCTGGAGTCCCGGGATCGAGTCCCACATCGGGCTCCCTGCTCGGCGGGGAGTCTGCTTCTCCCTCTGACCCTCCTCCCTCTCGTGCTCTCTATCTCTCATTCTCTCTCTCTCAAATAAATAAATAAAATCTTAAAAAAAAAAACCTCAGTGTATCAATTAACTGAACTATGAAACAAACAACTGAATTGCTGTATCACAGTGTTAAATCAAAATTTAAATAATGAAAGTTATTCAGCCATTTTTCTCAATATTATTAATACATAAAATAAAATTTTGCTTAAAATATTTTTATTTCAAAAAAATTATTTAGGTTTTTGGTGAAAGTATATTGATACTGGTAAGAATTAACAAAAATATAGTATTCTGAAGAACTTATAAAATGATATTTAAAAGCCTGCATTTTCTGTATCCGTGCTTGAAATGAATACCTTGTATTAAGGACCCAGTCTTTCATTATGACCATGATTTCACTAAACCAAGAAGGAAAGTGTAGAAAAGGATAAAATTTTTAAAAAGTGTCATATTGATTTTAGATTAAACTTGTGACTAGTTAATGTGCAACATTTTATTATCTTTTTCACCTCTGTGAACTCTTCATAGTAGGGTGAGGCAAAGAGATTGTAACTGAGCAAATAAAATTTTTTAGTTAAACATGAGCCCTAAAATATCCTCCAAACTTTTAGGGACCCTCTTGGTTGCTGGCACAGTTCTATATCAAGTTAGTCCTTACTAAATGTGTAAGCTTGGCGATTTTAATATGTGGATTTGAGACAGTTTTACAAATCGCTTCTTATTGACTACTGTAGTTTCAGAGGTAAAAATCTCACTATGTTCAGATTTTTTAACTTTTCAGGATGTAACTAATTTTAGTACTTAATTTCCCTTTTTAAAAACTGCTTTGCCCATTATACAGTAAAGAAAGATAAAAATCATTTTCTATAGATTTCATTATCTTTTATTTAACTTCACTCTTTAACAGTATTGTTAAATCTTAGCAGGTAAGAATTTATCCATTTCATAACTACCATTTAAATTATAAGTTGCACTTATCACTGTCAGTCCTTTGAAAATTAATTTAATATAATATCTGAAAAGCTAAAACCCAAATTAAGCAAATGATGAGGGGTTTATATTTGTATAAGGAAAGCAACAATGCAAATAATTCAATTATACAAACATTTTAACTTACTTGAAATTGCTTCATTCTTGAAGTAATGACTGACTCTGATGTGTTTCTAAACAGACACTCACACCGTAGAGTTTGTTTCTTTATTTTTTTAGCCTGTTTAGAGGTGCTGTTATCATGGGTGAGGGGGCTCCATCCTCAGCCAGGCTTTTGCTACCCCCCCAACATCCATGCCCCCTCTTTCTGGTAATAATCACAACCTAAAAATTATTAAAGCTACCCAGAGTCTACCCCTTCCTCAACAGGGCTGAAATCTAGCATCGCAGCTCATACACCCTGTCCTTATTTGTAAAACAGTAAATAAATACTTTGAGAAAGACCAAACTAATACATGTTGACAAGGGCAGCAATTCCTTATGTGGAAACCAGATTACCCAATCAATCTTTCCTTTAAATTAAAGAGTTTTCAGACTGATAACAGTTGTTGTCTTGAGGGAGTGTCCCCAAACAAAACACCCCTTGATTGGTTTATAACAAATGATACATAAGAAAGGATATGAAGGCAGGTAGTAAAGGAAATTGTGCAAACCCTTTCAAATAGTTAAAAGAAAGGTCTTCAAACTGAGGATGAAAGACCAACTCTGAAGGAATGACTAGTCAGCCAGATTCTTGTGCTAAAGTAACCCTTATAAACTTTGTTAGGTTCACATTCAAAGTTGCCTCTAACATCATCTATCCTTATCTTCAAATGTACATTGTGTGAGGAAGGAAAAACATTTTGGCATTTTGGAATAAATCACATTGTGCAAGCAGGACAACCTGCTAAGAGAAATATTGTTATCAGGAAGGAGTGTTCCCCAAGGTAAGGCAAGTCCGTTGCCTTAACACTGGGCTGACATCAAGCAAGTCTTCAAATGTAATCCATTCAACAGCAATATAAATGAAACTGCAGCACTGAAACCCTTAGAAACTGACATTGCATGCTTAGGACACACTACTAAGCTATGTGTTTAAAATTTCTTTCTTTTACATTTTCATGTTAAGACTTTCTATAGTTGCCATGACACTGGCTTCCAGTCTTAAATTTTCTTTCCATAATTGGATTATTTCAGTATTGAGGAGTAGCCTTAAATTCTAAATTAATTTGCTCTGACTAAAGTTGGAATGCTTAGAAAATTGTCTTTTAAAAAATAATATTTCTTTTGATATTTGATAACCAATTTTATTTTCTGACTTGGGTATCTGAGATCAGCAGGGTGATCTTCATTAAAACAGTGGATGACACACACACGGTTCACCTGGCATAGACAAAGCATCTAATGGTGGAAATGTCACTGGAGAAAATGCTTCTTGGGATGAAATTTCCCACTATTCCTGATAACGGGGATGTGGATTTTATTGCCTGAGTGAGTTGGAATATACAAATATAACCTTCCCTAAGGTTTAACTCAAGTACGATAATTAATGTGCCATTTATATCTATATACAAAGTCTCTAGTTTCTTTCTTATTAATATATAGAATAAACAAAGCAGCCTACAATAAAAATGGTTGCAGAATCTATTCCTTAGGTTATATTTTAAAATACAGTGGTATCCATATAAGAAATTTATATGTAGGGAATAGGAACAACACAAACCACACTAAAGCCCTCTGTGATCTTCTAAAAAGACAATGTCAGTAAGCTTATGGAAATGTCATTGCCAATGGTGTATTTTCAGATGGCATATGCCCACATATTTTTATCTTCTTTGCCCTAGTTTAAAATGTGCAAGTTATATAATGTTCGAGAGTTCTACTAAAATTGTTAAAGTAGCTTAATCCATGGTCAGTGATGTGGTAGTAACAACTGGAGAGATAGTAGCAATCATCTCATGAACATTCCTGATGCATGGAAGCATTTCCAGACCCTCAGAGGTTTTATGCCTTCAGCAGTCCATGGTAAGAACCAAAAAATAAAATAACAGTGCTATCAGAATACAATCACAGAATTTTTCCATCTCATGTTAGCTGTGGTCCAGTGCTCTTCAAAACATGATTCCAGGTTGGGTTCCTTTTGTTTGTTTATTTACTTCAGCTATGTGGCAAGGCACATTTAGCTTGTAAACACACACTTTCTTTTTCCTTATTTTTTTTCACTTTTCTTTTCACAGCTTGGGTTAATTTTGTACCATTTGGCTATACATTCAAATGCTTCACCTACTCTTTATTACAGAAAGCTTCTTTCTTCTCATGTTCTTCTAAAAGTTACAGATGACTCATTAGTACCATGGAAGAAAATATCCTTTGTGACAGTGTCCTGGAAATAGAATGAGGTATTTTAGATCTGTAGTGAAAATGGATGTTTGTTAATTATGGAATATAGATATGTATCCAGTTAAAAATGTATTCTTTCCTTGATTGTCTCATGGGCCATCTATGAACAACTTATTCTCCCTTTTTCTCAGCTCTTCTAAAAAAGATGTGTACTGCCTCTTTATTGGAGCTGCATGAAGAGTCATATATGAATTTGTGATTTCAAATTCATGCCTGGTCTGTTATTGCTATAGGAATTTTAAATTGTTATATTGGGTAGAGGGAGTTTTTTGTTTCGTTTTTAATTGGGATTAGGGAGTTTTTCTTGCAGAAGTAACTTAATAGAAAAGTAGTTTAATAGTAATTTAATCAGAAAAGTAGATGGTAAATAAAAGCTTATGATTCCATAAATTGTCTTATGAACAGGCCCCAATTTATAACTTTTTTTTTTTTTGGCATATCATTAGCTCCTCTAGAACTAGCAGCCCCCAGGGCTCTCCCTTCCACCCAAGGCACTATAGTTGATTTCCAAATCTTTCTCCTCTTCATCCATTATTTCTTCCTTGTGCCCCTTTCTTCCTTGTCACCTCCCCACCTCTGGCTCAGGAACAATCCCCAGATGATGATGATGATGGTAGTGAAATAATGGTTAGCATTTATTAAGCACCTGCTATATTAGGAAGAAACCATTCAATTGAGAGTGACAAAAATCCAACAGAAACTAGTTTTTGAAAACGAACAAGCTAACTAATTAATTAATAAATAAATGTATGTGTGGGGCGAATCTCGTTTTAATATCAAAGGATCCAGCAGCTAAAAGGACAACAGCAGGACACAGTCCTTTTCCATTTTGGGCTCTACTTTCTCCTATGCGGGCTGCATTCACGGGTTGACTCTTGCCACAAAATGGCGGAAGTCGCCGCAG